AAAATGGGAGAAAATTAATGATAGCATCAACCTCACAGATCATCTCGAGGGTCAAATCAGGTGATGTATATACAGTGATCAGAGAAAAAGGAAAAGAATCTATATGTTCTAATATTTATTGCAGCTCTCTTTGTGGTGACAAAGAACTGGAAACTGAGGTGATGGCCATCAACCGGGAAATGACTGAAAAAGTTGTGGTATATGAATGTAATGGAATACTACTGTGCTATAAAAAATGATAAGCAGGTTGGTTTCATAAAAACGTAGGAAGACTTACCTGAAATAATGCAGAAATGAGCAGAACCAAGAGAACGTCATATACAGTAACAGCAATATTGCTCAAAGAGTAACTGTGAATGGCTAAGCTATTCTGAGTAACATGATCAACTATGAAGGAAAATGTTATCCACCTCCAGAGAAAGAAGTGATATATGGAAATATATTGTATGGTTCTCTCTTCTCCTCCTCCTCCTCCCCTTCACCTCTCTCTCTCTCATAAATACACATACACACATAAATATAAAATGTTGGCCTTCTCTAATGTTGGATTGGGAGGAAGGGAGAGAAACAACCTAGAACTCAAAATGTAACAAAAAATAAATTAAAAAAAACACCTTGCATAGGATCCTTGTGTATGTCACTCTTTAAAGCATTAGCATCAGAGAAGTTACATCTTGAAGCTCCAGCCACATTAAAAAGTGTTAAACACTAAAAAATAAAACAAAAACAATTAGGCTCTTAATTAATAAATGCCTGTTCCTCAAAGAGGGGGTGGGGTGTGTCTCTCCTTCCCCAGGATCCTTCTGGCTCTATCCTGTGAGGCTCTAGGCAGATTATCAAGCCTCAGACCACTGCTTTTTTTCCTCTCCTGCTTCATTCTCCTTTCTCTGAACTCTATGGGAGACTCCAAAGGCCTCTGGGCCAGTTCAGAGCATAATTTTTCTTCCAGGGTACACCAAAAGGCTGGTTTCTGAGTAAAAGGTAAGATGGGGTTTTCCTTAAAGAGTCTCGTTAGCCTCTTCCCAAACTGGTAGGAGACAGCAGTGAACTAACCCCTTGAAAACTCTGCTTTTTACCTTGGAAGTTCATAAAAATACAGAATAAGAGTTCAGAGGTCATCTCGCTCAAAACTCCTACTCTCTCCCACTTCATTTTGTAGCTAAAGAGCTTCTCCTAGGGTGGACATTCACTATATTCTTCCCTCCATTAAAAGATGTGCAGTCCCTTCCAAGTACACTAGTCTGAAACCTGAAACTCCAATCTTCTCTCCAATACTTCTCCAGGGATCTAAGAAGGTTCTCTACTATCAGGCATCTCATTCCAAGCAGTATCAGAAATATCTCCTTTGGGGAAATGTCTTCTTCAGCAGACTGAACCAGAAAACAAGCCTCGGAGGACTTAGCCCTTTTATGCCTGGAACTCCCTAGAGGCCCTTCTGCAATGGAATTGTGATTGCCTCAGTGACCCACTATACTTAAGCCTAACTCCATCCACTATTTGTCTTAATAACAGAATCGAGCATGTATATAGCACTTTAAGGTTTGCAATGCACTTTATATATATTAACTCATTTGACTTTACTCTCAGGACACCTCTCACATACATCCTTTTATCCATCCTATGCTCCTGCCTCCTTGGCCCTCACTCTCTCCTTGTTCAGTCCTGTCTGACTTTTCATGACCCCATTGGGGGTTTTCTTGGCAAAGATACTAGTTTGCCATTTCCTTCTGAAGCTCATTTGACAGATGAGGAAACTGAGACAAAAAGGGTTAAGTGACTTGCCCAGGGTCACATAACTAGTAAGTATCTGAGGTCGGATTTGAACTCTAGAAAATGAGTCCTCCCGGCTCACTATCCACTTCCCTACCTACTTGTACCTTCTGCAAGGACTTCCAAATAAAACAGCCCTCCACTTCTCAATTGTTATGGTCTCCTCCATTAGAATGGAAGCCCCTAGAGGGCAGGTTATCTCCTCACATTTGTATCCTCAGGGCTGAGCACTCTGTTAAGTACCAGTCAATAAACATTTATTAAGTGCCTACTATATGCCAGGCACTGTGCTAAGCTCTGAAAATACAAAAAAAGGGCAAAAGACAGTCCCTGCCCTCAAAAAGCAAACCATGGGGGGGGGGGGCTGTGACAAGCAAACAAATATGTACAAATAAGCTATATATGGATTAAATAGGAAATACTTGGGAGATTGAAGGCATTTGAACTAAGAGAGGACAGGAAGAAATTCCTGTAAAAGATGGGATTTTATTCGGGCCTTGAAGGAAGTCAGGGAGGGCAACAGACCGAGACAAGGAGGAAGAACATTCCAGGTACAAGGGACAGCCAGAGAAAATGCCCAGAGACAGGGAGACAGAGCACTTTGTTTATGGAACAGCAAGGACTTAATAAAACCAGAACCTAATAAAATGACTTTCATTTATATCTTCACTCAAACCTTTCCTCCATAGTTTACATGCCCACAGAGTGGATGGTGGTCTTTTTGGAGAACTCAGCACAGTCAGGAGACCCTTCCCCCAACTGTGAGAGTCCAGTTCCATTACTGTGCACCTGCCCCCCCCAATAACTAGGCAGCCATGGTGACCCCTCAATCCCAATACCCAACTATACATACACACACACACACACACACACAGAGTCCCACAATGCTCAGCACTGTCTAGACCCTCACCAGGATGCTGCCTGAACAAAGCCACTGAGGGTTCAGAAAGCCCAGGTCCAATGCCAAAATCCTGGATCAGCCCAATACACAATGGGCCTGGGCTGCAGTTTGGAGGAGTCTAACCTTGAAATCCCTGTCTAGCCTTTAGAAAAGGCAAGGGATGGAGTGTACCTCACTTATTACTGATACTAGAGGTGTCTGCACACATGGCCTGCACACAACACTCTTGAGTATTGCCCAACAGATTAAAATGAAATTGGGAAATATTTAACAAAATAAGTAAAAATACAATCAAACATAGATAATGTTCATATGTTGTTTTTAAAGTCAATATGAGGAGGCTGGAATTCTTATGTACAGTCTAGTAACTCCATTTCTACTTTAAGTCTGACACCACTAACATATGCTAACCGTGAAGTCTCTATAGTATATACACTAACAGTGGAATCATCTGCTCAGTGAGAGGGCACAGCAATTTGGAGCCCAAGTCTCAGCAATGGGAGCCTAGTTATTCATGTAACTGATCTTGTTTAGGAAATCTGTCAGATCTGTTACTTAATTATTATTTTACCCAAACTTATTATTTCATTAACAGGAACTATCAGGATGGAAATTCCCCCCATCAAAGAAGACCAAAAACTTGTTAGTAAGTTAAAGTGTTGCTAAGAGTACTGAGAAATTAAATCAATTCATCATTCAATAAGGTAGCCTTTATTAAATATAGACTAAGTGCCAGGCACTGGGCTAAGCTCTGAAGATACAAAGAAAGGCCAAAGATAGCTCCCATTCTCAAGAAGCACTTCCATCTGATGGGGGAGACAACATGCAAACAAGTATGCTCCAACTATGGCACATAGTAGGTGCTTCATGAATGCTAGTTAAATTGATTGATATCATGCTGACCTCATTTGGGTGATGAATCTTTCTCTTGATTTGACAGAGTTTAGGAGAGATCTCTAGGTCTAGGGCTGGGTCTGCACACAGGGCACATAGTTGTATATCCAGTCATTTTCTATGGGATATTAAAGTTCTGGAGCTAGGTCCTTGGAGACCCCAAGACTGCTTAGCAATTGGTGCTTTCTCTATGTTAATTATTTCCTAGTATCCTTTATATAGCTTATGTATATTTATTTATCTCTCCCCATTAAATTGTAAACTCCTTGAGGGCAGGGGCTGTCTTTTGCCTGTTTTTATAGTTCTTTCAATCAGCACAGTGCCTGGCACACAGTAGGTGCTTAATAAATGCTGGCTGATTGTCAGGCTTTCTCACAATCCAAGGTAAGAGGCTGACCTCCTAATGTGGCTTGATGTTTACAATACATCTGGAAATGTGCCAGCACATCCTCACCAGACAGCTTAGGCACGCTCATTAATGCCCTGCTTGGCTGATGGAAGGGAAAGGAAAATGGGGGTGGGGAGTCAAGACGCCCAGGACTTCTGGGTCCCCAGGACTGCTCTCCCACACCTGCCGGATTACTGGATCCCTTCCAGGGAAAAATGATAGCCTTGCCCGGAAGCTTCAGTCCTTCCCTGCCCAGGAGGCTGTGACTCCAGGCTGGGACCGGCATAAACAAGACCTAAATCGGAATCCTAGCTCAGGCAGACCTCAGGCAGATCCCTTTCTGTCCCTGGGCCTCAGTTTCCTCATCTGAAAAAAGGGCAATGTTAGACCAGAGACTCCCTTCAGGTTGCTTTCAGGTCCACACGCCGGGAACCCAATGAAGGGTCTCAGGGCGCCGGGGTGGGAGTTGGGGGTTGTTGTCTGCTTTCTTCCCGGGGCCCCGGGGCCGGACCAGGGGGCATCAAGCCCCGGTATGGGAGGACGCAGGGCACCATCCTACCCATCCCTCCAGGGCCAGCTGCAAGCCCCGGATCTCAAAGAGCTTCCAATGCCTCCTCTGTAAGAAGAAAAAGTGAAGCCCTCGCCAGTTTGGGCAGTGGCCCTGGGAAGCTGGGGGAGCAGACTGGGGGGTTCCCGGGCATCAGGGATGCCTAGCCCTGGACCAGCCGCCTCCCTGTCCCCAACTTACCGCATGCAGCAGGCAGACGGCTCCAACCGCAGCAGCTTCGGCTCTCGCAGCCCGGCCCGGCTCCAGCAGTCCAGCGGCTCCGGTCACCTGACTGCGGCCGTCCCTCCGCTCCGCCCTCCGGGAGGTGCCGTCCCGTAGTGCCTCCTCCTCCGTTTTCTCCTCCTCCTCGGCCTGCGCATTCGCCTCTGTCCGGCTCTTTAGAGACTGTCCCTGGGATCCGTGACCGCTCCGCCCTCCCCTCGTCTTACCTGCCTCCTGCGTGACGTCACGGGTGGGGTTGGGGCCTCCAGTGTTCTGGCAGCGCGCATAAAGATCCTCCTGCCCAGAGCCTCGAGTGCACAAGTGTCTGCTCAGCTCTCCCGGAGCGAGTGTCTGCTCCGCTCTCTTAGCGCAGCCGCCGCGATGTCCTCTGCAGCTCGGACTCTGCCGGCCACCGTGCTGGGCGCGATGGAGATGGGCTGGCGCATGGACCAGGCATCCAGCGAAGCCTCCATGCAGGCCTTCCTGGACCGAGGCCACCGTGAGGTGGACACGGCCTTCGTATATGGCGACGGCCAGTCCGAAAGCTTCTTGGGCAGCATGGACCTGGGGCTAAAAGACGGCAGCAAAGGAGGTAAACCGGCCAGTGCCCTGCCTGCCCGACCCCGTGCAGCGGCCCCTGCCCACACCCGGGGTCCGTGCCACTCAGCGTCTTGCTACTTAAATCCCACCCACCCCACACATGGCAGATGGCTCCTGAGTCCGTGCAGGCTCGACTCTCGCTGATGTCGCAGTCTGAGGAGAGCACCCCTGTGCGCTTGACCCTGACACTGGGCTCCGAGGCCGGTACAGCCCAGAACTCCTCATCTAGGCCTTGCATCCTCAATCCCCTTGATCTGGGTTCTCTATGTCCGCCCCTGCAGCTCCTACCCCGCCAAAACATTGTGTTTTGAGTCCCCTGACATCTTTGCACCCCTAGCTTTCACCTGGCCACTGGGTCCAAAGGCCTTGCATCCTAATCTCTGAAACGTACTTCCTCCTCTCCTGAACAGTGTAATTGATCTCTGGCCGCTCCGCCTCTCCTGAGTAACCTTTGCTTCCCTCAATCTGCTGGTCCGCAAACACTGTGACTTCCCCTGGCGCCTACCTGGCGTCTTTTAAAGGACCCCTGTTCCCAAGGTTTCCCCAGCGCCATGACGGTCGGCCCCGAGCAGTAACTGGATTCTCATCGTTGTTAGTTACTCTTTGGTTAGTAGCCTTCCTATGGGCTCCCTGCCCCCAAGCATGCTTCTTTCAAAGCCTGCCAGGCTGAGTTAAAGTTCAAGCTCTTCATGCGGTTTCCTGAAAGTCAGGGAGAGGGTTTTTTCAATTTTATCGGGAACTGCTCAGAGACCAAGGAGTTTGGGGGGTGAATGAGCCCCATTTAAGGCCTCAGTCCTTCAGTGCCTGATCTCACCCCAACTTCCTCCCTGAGTAGTTCTGTAATCTGCTACCTTCTCAAATTTATAGAATCTGAGAGCTGGAAGAAACCTTAAAACCCAGACTGTTAGAACTGAAATGAACCTTAGAAAGTAGAATGTCAGGACCCAGAGAACTTAGAGATCACTTTAGTCTCAACTCCCTATATTACAGAAAGGGAAACTGAGGCCCAGAAATGGAAATAATTTCTCTAAGGTCACACACAGTGAATGAACTGCAGAGATGGGACAGGAATGGCAGCCCAGGGCTTCTTTCTTCCACATTGTCCCATTTCATCTTGGTGTCCTAGAGGGAAGGAGGGTTTTGGGATTCAGTATTACAATTCAGGGCAGCCAGGTGGTGCAGTGGATAGAGCACCAGGCCTGGAGTCAGGAAGACCTGAGTTAGATCTGGCCTCAGACACTTATTAGCTGTGTGACCCCTGGGCAAGTCACTTCACCCTGTTTGTCTCAGTTTCCCCATCTGTCAAATGAGCTGGAGATGCCAAATCACTCCAGTATCTTTACCAAGAAAACCTAAATGGTCATGAAGGCTCAGGCAGGACTGAAATGATGACACAGACCCACATTATAATTCTGTACACTCTCTAGCTGGGTTCCCAGCTCTGAACTTTCATTGTGACCTTGAGAAAGTATGTGAACTCTCTGGGTATAGAATCATCAGTTGAGAGAAGCAAGGGACCTTAGAGGTCATCACATCCCAACTCTCTCATTTTGCAGATGAGGAAACTGACACCCAAGAAGGTTTTTTTCCCTTACCTGCAAATGGACAGGTTTGGACTAAATGTTCTCTAGAGGCCTTCCAGCTCTACACTTGTATTCCCATGATCCCTGAATTATCTTTCCAGCTTCCTGCTAATTGGGGCCCTTTAACCACCATTCCTCTCCACCACCTCTTTTCTCCCCCCCTCCCCCCACTTGGACTGGGTCCTATCCCCCAAATTGTAGTTGTGGCTGAAAACAGACTTCCTATCAGGACCTAATCTTTTTCCTGGCAGCTAAGAGAGGAAGGATAAAGTATGAAACTGAATAGAGGAAACCACCCAGGTGACTGGACTGCCTCCCATGGGCAGCTAGGAATCAGGCTCAGCATTTTTGCCTCAGTTACCTCAACTGTTAAATGGAGATAATAATAGCACCTACCTTCCAGGGTGGTTTTGAGGATCAAATCAGGCAAAATCTGTAAAGTATCTGACACACAGTAGGAATTTAATAGTGCTTTGTGTCATACTAGGCAGATGACTCAAGTCTGGGAGCTCAGTAACAGGTGTGACAAGTAAATTAAAATGACACCTTATTGATTGATTCAGACCCATCTGGACATAAACTTGACTTTTGTCCCCTTCTCCTGGGTCCCCTGTCTCCAGATCCCCTCCTCCTGCTTCATAGGAACACCAGATCTAGAATTTGAGATTAGAGATCATTTGGCCCAGCCAGCCTCCTCCCTCTAGGGGCAAGGAAAAAGATCCAATGAAGTGACTTGTCCAAGGTCACAGAGCTAGTGAGAAATCAAATCCCTTATTTGACAGATGAGGAAACTGAGGCCTACAGTGATTAAGTGACTTGCCAGAGGCTGCACAGGTTTCCAGTGGCTCAGCCAGGATTTGCAGCTGAGCTGTCTCTTGACTCCAAATCCAGAATTCTTTCCTCTATGCCAGGTGCACACACACACACACACACACACACACACACACACACACACACACTCTTCCTTTCATGAAAGCCCATGTTCAGGTGATCTGGATAAGTCATTTTTCCTTTCTAGATTTTGATATTCTCCAAGGTAAAATAAGACATGTGGACTGGATCAGAGATTCTTAACCCTGGGGTCCTGGGATAACTTTCATGGGATCTGTGACATTGAGCAAAAAAATCCCAAAAAAAACCTCATCTTTCTTTTCTCAGGCTTCTAATAGAAATGTAATATTAATTTCTTTCAATTATTTGAAAACATTATTCTGAGAATGGGTCCATGGGCTTTCCCAGATTGACGTAGGGGTCCATGAAGGAAGGAAAGAAGGAAACAAGAATTTATTAAGTGCCTACTATTAGCCAGGCACTGTTAAGCACTTGCAAATATTATATTGTAGAATTTTCTGTGTGTTGCTTGAATTGAATTGAATCTCAGACACTCCTACCACCTTCTTTCTCCCCAAGTAAAAATTGCCACCAAGGCCAATCCCATGGATGGGAAGACCCTCAGTGCTAGCAGTGTCCGGTTCCAGTTGGAGACCTCCCTGAAGAGGCTGCAGTGCAACCGAGTAGATCTCTTCTATCTGCATATGCCAGACCATAACACCCCAGTGGAGGAGACGCTGCAGGCCTGCAATGAGCTGCACAAGGAGGTGAGAGCAGAGGATGGTAGAGAGGGGCCTTTAGGGTACAGAATATCAGAGCCCTTAGAACCCAGAATGTCAGATCTGGAGAGACCTTAGTGAATCAATCAATCATTCATTCAAGATTACTAACCATCTGCTATGTGCCAGGCACTGTGCTAGAGCTGGAGATAATGAGACAATACCTACTCACAAAGACATTCAGATTTTTTCCCTCCATCTCTCCATCCTTCCTTCTCTCTTACCCTCCCCCACCTTTCCTCCCTCCTTTCTCTCTGTCTCCCTCCCTCTCCCTTTCTCCCACCTTTTCCCTCTTCCCCTCTTTTCCCCTCTCTCCCCTCTCTATCTCTCTCACTCCCTTCACCCCTCCCGTCACCCTCCTTCCTCCCTTTCTCCCTCCCTTCCTTCATCTCTCTCCCCCGCCTCCCCTCCTTCTTTCTCTCTTTCTCCCCTGCAGGGTAAGTTTGTAGAGCTGGGCCTCTCCAACTACTACTCCTGGAAAGTAGCTGAAATCTGTATCCTCTGCAAGAAAAATGGCTGGGTCCTCCCCACTGTGTACCAGGTGAGCACCTGTCTGAGCCCAGGATGCTACTGGGTCTCCTGGGGGCCTTCTTGGCCATGGATTCACCTGGCCCCATGGGCAGGAAACCCTTCTACCCTTGAGGTTAAAGGAGGGAGGGACTGGCCCCATGTGATACTGCTAGTAAATGGCCCAGCTGGGACTCGGTTCTAGGGCTCAGACTCCCAGTTCTTTGGGTCAGAAAGAATGCTTCTGGCTTTGGAGAAAGAACACCTGGGTTCAAATTCTGACTCTGCCACTTCCTGCCTAATGACATCTCTGGTCCTCAGTTTCCTCATCTGTAAAGTGAATGAGTGGGACTGAACCTCCAGCCAGTGTGCCAAGCTCGTGATCTCTCCTGACCCGGTCTGGTTTGGGGGGTTGTCCCTTCCCTGAAGCTCCTCATCTGTGCTGTCCTCCCTCCCTCACAGGGCATGTACAATGCCATCACCAGGCAAGTGGAGACGGAGCTGTTCCCCTGCCTACATCGCTTTGGATTGCGGTTCTATGCCTTCAACCCTTTGGCTGGTATGAGGAAAAGCGGGGAGGGGACCTCAAAGTCTGTGGGATGGCATAGTATAATGAAGATATGAAGCCAAGAGATCTGGGTTCAGATCTGGCCTTTGATACTTGCTAGCTGTGTGTCCATGGGCAAATTGCAACCTCTCTCAGCCTCTTTGGCCAAATGGGGGAAATAATATTTATGCTAACTACCTCATAGAGTTACTGTGGGAAGGCATTTTCTTAAAGCTGAAGATTGCTCCAGAAATCTGAATTTATTGTGGCTTCCCTTACCCCTACTAAGTCTCTATTCTAAGTTCAGCTTGAAGAAGGTGGGGGAGGAGAGAGACAGTGTCCAAGGATGGTGAGGGGTCTCAGTGGGATTAATTGGAAGTGGGAGACAATAATTCATACATGAGTAACCTTGTGGGCCACATAGTAGCTTTATTATATTTTTATTTATTTTGTTAAATATTTCCTCATTATATTCAGTATGTTTTTGCCCCTTTGCCCTAGAAGAACTATCTTTCTCATCTTGCTGCCCTTCCAGTTCAGCCCCACCTCACCCCCAGTTCTGGAATTATGAACCAATGAACCCTGGCCATCATCCTGGGGTGCGTTTGTCAATGACTTCCCCTGTTCCCCTACTCACCCTCCTATTCACTTTCACCACCAAAATGTTTCTTCCAGGCCTGGTCTTTCATGTTGTTTCCCTGGTTAGAAAGTAAACTTTATGAGAAACAGGGACTTTGTTAAAAATTTTAATTAATTTATTTATTTTCAGTTTTCAACATTCACTTCCCTATGATTTTGAGTTTTAAATTTTCTCCCCCGCCCTCTCCTTCCCCCTCCCCAAAATGGTGTGCCATCTGATATAGGTTCTACTTATACATTCACATTAAGCATATTTTCACATTAGTCATGATGTACAGAAGAATTAGAACTAATGGGAGGAACCATCAGAAAGAAGAAATAAAACAAAACAACAAAAGAAAAGAGGAGAAAATAGTATGCTTCCATCTGCATTGAGACTCCTTAGAACTTTCTCTGGATATGGATAGCATTTTCCATCATGAGACTTTTAAAGTTGTCTTAGATCCTTTTATTGCTGAGAAGAGCTAAGTCCATCAATGTCAGCCATCACACAATGTAGCTGTTACTGTGTACAATGTTCCCCTGGTTCTGCTCATTTCACTCTGCATCAGTTCATGTAAGTCTTTCAAGGTTTTTCTGAAGTCCACTTGCTCATCATTTCTTATAGCACAATAGTATTCCATTACATTCATATACCACAACTTGTTCAGCCGTGCCCCAATTGATGGGCATCCCCTCAATTTCCAATTTTTTGCCACCACAGAAAGAGCTGCCATAAATATTTTTGTACATGTGAGTCTTCTTTCTATTTTTATGATCTCTTTGGGATACAGACTTTCTCTATTGTGTTTAATAGGAGTGAGTGTTGTATTTTGCCAAATGCTTTTTCTGCATCTATTGAGATAATTATATGATATCCATTAGTTTTGTTGTTGATATGGTCAATTATACTGATAGTTTTCCTAATATTGAACCAGCCCTGGTATAAATCCTGGTATAAATCTTATTTGGTCATAGTGTATATTCCTCAAGATAAGTTGCTGTAATCACTTTGCTAATATTTTATTTAAAATTTTTGCGTCTATATTCATTAGGGAAATTGGTCTATAATTTTCATTCTCTGTTTTGGCTCTTCCCAGTTTAGGTATCAGCACCATATTTGTATCATAAAAAGAATTTGGTTGGACTCCTTCTTCACTTATTTTCCCAAATAATTTGTATAGTATTGGGATTAGTTGTTCTTTAAATTTTTGATAGAATTCACTTGTGAATCCATCTGGCCCTGGAGATTTTTTCCTAGGGATTTCATTGATGGCTTGTTCAATTTCTTTTTCTGAAATGGGGCTAAGTATTTTATTTCCTCTTCTATTAATCTGGGCAATTTATATTTTTGTAAATATTCATCCATTTAATTAAGATTGTCAAATTTATTGGCATACCGTTGGGCAAAATAGCTCCTAATTATTATTTTGATTTCCTCTGGTGATGAATTCACCCTTTTCATTTTTGATGCTAGTAATTTGGTTTTCTTCTTTCTTTTTTTTAAATCAAATTAACCATTTTTATTGTTTTTTCTTTTTTCATAAAACCACCTCTTCTATTTATTAGTTCAATAGTTTTCTCAATTTCAACTTTATTAATCTCTTCTTTGGTTTTCAGAATTTCTAATTTCATATTTAATTGGGGATTTTGAATTTGTTCTTTTTCTAGCTTTTTTAGTTGCATGCCCAATTCACTGATGTCTTCTTTCTCTATTTTATTCCTGTAAGCATTTAGAGATATAAAACTTCCCTAAGAATAGCTTTTGCTGCATCTCATAAGTTTTGGTATGTTGTCTCATTATCGCCATTCTCTTGGGTGAAGTTACTGATTGTTTCCATGATTTGTTGTTTGACCCACTCATTCTTTGGGATTAGATTATTTAGTTTCCAATTAATTTTTAGTCTGTCTTTCTATGGCCCTTTATTACATGTAATTTTAATCGCATCATGAACTGAAAAGAATGCATTTACTATTTCTGCCTTTCTGCTTTGGGTTATGAGGTTTTAATGCCTTAATGCATGGTGAGTTTTCGTGTAGGTGCCATGTACTGCTGAGAAATAGGTATATTCATTTCTATCTCCATTCAGTTTTCTCCAGAGCTCTACCCTAGCTAACTTTTCTAAAATTCTATTCACCTCCTTAACTTCTTTCTTGTTTATTTTATGGTTAGATTCATCTAGTCCTGAGAGGGGAAGGTTGAGGTCTCCCACTAGTATAATTTTGTTGTGTATTTCTTCCTGTAACTTCCTTAACTTCTACTCTAAGAATTTGGTTGCTATACCATTTGGTGCATATATGTTTAGTAATATTACTTCATTGTATATAGTACCTTTTAGCAGGATGTAGTTTTCTTCCTTATCTCTTTAATTAGATCTCTTTTTGCTTTTGCTTTGTCTGAGATCAGGATTGCTAACCCTGCTTTTTATTTCTTCAGCTGAAGCATAATATATTCTAATCCAGCTTTTTACCTTTACTTTATGTGTATCCCTCTGCTTCAAATGTGTTTCTTGTAAGCAACATATTGTAGGATTATGGTTTTTAAGCTACTCTGCTATCCAGTTCCATTTTATGGGAGAGTTCATCCCATTCACATGCACAGTTATGATTACTATCTGTGTCTTTCTCTCCATCCTATTTTCCCTCCTATTCATGATTTTCTCTCTCTTTTCTCCCTTTCCTTCCTCATTAGAATTTTGGTTTTGACCACCACCTCCCTCAATCTGCCCTCCCTTTTCTTTCCCTTTTCCCCTCCTTCCTATATAGGATAAGTTAGATTTCTATACCTAATTGAGTATATTATTCCCTCCTTGAGCCAAATCTGATTGAAAGTAAGGTCCAAACAATGCTCATCCCCTTCGTTCTTTCCCTCTACTCTAATAGGTCTTTGCACGTCTTAATGTGATGTAATTTACCCTTTTCTGTGTCTTCTTTTCTTCTCCCAGTACAATTCCTTTTTACCACTTAATTAGATTTTTTTATCATCCCATCAAAGTCAATTTATACCCGTACCTTCTGTCTATATATACTCCTTCTAAATGTCATAATAAAGATACAGTTCTCAAGAGTTTCAAGTGTCGTCTTCCCATGTAGGGATGTAAACAGTTGGGCTTTTCCCGCCTTTTTATCTGTACCTATAGCACTTAGCTTTGATTGCTTTGGAATAGTTTAATAATGTTCAGTATGTGCTTTTTCATTCATTCTGCTTCTTTTTGGATTGTTGCCAAGTTGAAAAGTGAGACCCCAGCCTCATGTAGCCTTTTGCCTTTTACTGAGCTCTAGGTCCATGTGGGTATCTTTAGCCCTCTCTATCCTTTCCACAGGTGGTCTTCTGACTGGCAAATACACCTATGAAGATAAGGACAAAAATCAGCCAACGGGCCGATTCTTTGGCAAGAATTTATCTGAGATCTACCGGAATCGGTGAGCTGCAGATGAGTGGGTCAGAGATGGGAGAGTGTTCTGATCCCTCTCAGATCTTTGAGTCCCCTTTCCTGTGGGTTGGGACCCTCTTAAACTGTCCTGATTCGAGTGGCCCTGGCTACTGTGGGGTTATAGGATTGTAGGGAGAAGAACTTAGAAGTCACCTCCTTCTTTTTACAGATTGGGAAACTGAGGCACAGAGAGATGAAGTGACTGGCTGATTATAACAGAGCTACTTGGCAGCTAGCACTCACATTTGAGCCTGAGTCTTCTCCCTCTGAATGCATTGTTCATTTTGCCATATCAATCCCCCCATAAGCTCTTTCTTGCCTCCCTGAGCTCAACTTCATGGCCAGAATTGCAGGGATTGAGCCTGGAATTAGGAGCCCCTGGTGCTCAATCAGAGCTTCACATCCTGCCTTAGAGAGGACTTGCTTACAGATGGTGAAAAAAAATGTTGGCCTGGAAATCTAGGCCTGTTTTCATCATTAAGTAGCTCTGGGACCTTGGATGAGGCATCGTCTCTGAGTCTTGCTTTCCCCATATGTAAAATGGGTATGAGCCTTTGGCCCACCTCTCAGGAAGCCATCTCACACCTCAGAGGTAGAAGGACCTTTGAGGGTGTCTGGTCCAACCCGAAAATGAACAACAGCCCCCTTGAAACCATCCCTGACAAGTGGATCTCCGGCCTATACTCACAGAAGCCCAGGCAGACCCTTCCCTTTTTGGGCCCCTGTCATTGTGAGGAAGGGTTTCCTGACACTGAGATAAAACTGACCTATTTGGAGCTGTCCACAGGACTGTCCCTCACATGTATGACAGGTGCCCCTCTGCCCTCCCAGCTGCCCCCAAGTTTAGACCAAGCAGCCCCAGTTCTCTTAACCCCTCTTTGAGTGTCTGCCATGTCCTGAAAGGGCCTCACCTTCCTCTGGACTCTCTCAGTATCCTTCCCAGAATGTGGCAGCCAGTCCTAAAATGGGCTTTCTTCGGGTGTCACATGAGATGAGATGGGTGATTATGAGATCAAGTAACCCCAGAGGAATGAAGGACTTAGATAACGTTTGCCTGAGGCCTCTGTCCTGCGCTCATGAATTGTTCATTGGGTGGTAGACTGAGCATAACCAAAGGTCACTTTGGGTGCTTTGAGATCCTCTCAGGGGAAGTGCAGCCCCTCTTGGAGGTTTGCAGTGGATGGTACTTGGGTTTTCTGCCAAGCTGAGGCCCTGCTGAGGCCAGCCTGGGGGCACTGACCACTGAGCTTCCCTCTCTACCCATTCAACACAGCTACTGGAAGAAACATCACTTTAAAGCCATTGATCTTGTGAAGAAAGCACTGGCGGCATGTTATGAGACTGACCCTCCCAGCATGACCTCAGCAGCCCTCAGGTGGATGTACCATCACTCCAAGCTCCAGGTAATACCCTGGGGGCCCCAGGAACCCACCCAGTTCCCCTGGGTTTTGAGCCTTTAGGAGGTTGGGCCCATTCTCAGCTTTGACATTATTTCAAGGCCATGTCCTTTCCTTCATAGAAATGTCTTTGCTGACTTTTTCTGGCCCTTGATCCAATGGGCTTTTTAGCAAAATTGGATAAATAGTGGTTAATGACTGGTTAATGACCCTCCAAAGCATACTTCCTGAAACTCTGAGTTGGATAAAGGATCCTTTTGTAATTTACACTTTGTACACAAAAGCTGTCTCTTGACCTTCTGGTTCAGCTTTCTTCATTCTGAAGGGGAAAGGAATTAAACATTTATATGGCACCTACTGTGTGCCAGGCGTTGTGCTGAACGCAGTTCAAATATTCTCTCATTTGTAATAACCCTGGGAGGTTGGTGCTATTATTATCCTCATTTTACCTTTGGGGAAACTGAGGCAGGCAGCAGTGAAGTGATTTGTCCAGGGTCACAGAGCTTCTAAGTATAAGGTCTTCCTGAGTCCAGACCAAGTGCTTTATCCCCTGGGCCACAGGGCTGCTTCTGAAAATCACTTCTTAGAGTCTTCCCACATGCCTTTGACTTTTTTTCTGTTTGTCTACACCTTCCTCCAACCATAATGAGACATGGCAGTGGCTGGTCAGAGTGGATAGAGAGCTGCCCTCAGAGGCAGGAAGGCTTGGGTCCGAGGCCCGCCTCAGACCTAGGACCCAGTCTTTCTAGCAGGGTAGGAGTTGGGTGAGGTTGTTCGTCCCCCTGGTGCTGACTTGGAGAGCCCAGGGTCACCTCTGTGGCACAAGGCAAAGAGAAAGCCTTCCTTGACCTAACTTTCCTGTTTCTGGGCCCGAGCACAGGAATGACCCTCTTCCTCTGGCCCCCTTTGCTGTCTTTCCAAAACTTTAGAGACTTCCATCTTAGGCTTTGATGAGCAATCTGAGAGGCAGCAAGGTTGGTACAAAGGAGAGTGCATTGGACTGGAGTTGGGAAGACGCGAGTTTGAATCCAACCTCAGACTTACTAGCTGTGTGATCCTGGGAAAGTCACTCCACCTGTCTCTGCCTCAGTTTCCTCTTCTCTAAAATGAGGATAATAATATTCCCTACCTCCTAGGGTTGTTGCCATATCCAGTGAGACACCATATGTAAAGTGCTGTGGAGACCTTAAAGTGCTCTATAAATGTGAGATAATGTTATAATTCTGATCCAGCTAGATTATAAACCTGTAAAGGGAGATACTGGGTCTGGAAGCTATCTGTGTTCCTGAAGAGGTTTGCTGGGACCCCAAGAATGCCAGAGGCATCTCCTGGAGTGAATTCAGACACTCGGGCCTTCTCTGAGTCAAGGGGCAAAAAGTTAATTGATGCGAATAGAAGCGTGCAAGAGTCCTTAGGGAACCTATGAGCTAGTGAGGATGGTGCTGGGGCTTGTAAGGGAAAGGGACAAGGATGTTAATTAGGTAATCTAGGGACTTCAAGGGGTATATCAGGGGTCCAGGTGTCTTTGGGAGTAGGCACCTATAATCTGTGGATGGGAAGATGTAGGCAGTCTGCAGAGATAACTTTGTTGATATCAGGCATTGAGGGAGAAAAGAGTTTTTGGGTTTTTTTTTTTGTTTAGTTGCCAGAGGCATTGACCTTGGGGATCTGGCATGGGCCAGCCAGGGACAAAAGTCCTTAGGCCTGGCACCCCTGTGTCTGTTCTGGTAAGAGAATGTGTTCTGCAACAAGAGAAAATTTTCTCACAGGATAGGAGCCTTCCAGAGACATGATCTTAGGACTTTTTATGAGGTCTGTGTGCCACCATGCCATCAGGCCCTCAGCACTGAACCCACTGTCTTGTACATAGCAGGTACTCAGCAAATGATGATTCAATCCAAGCATCATTTGGAGGTTAAATGAGAGTGGAAAGTATGCAGAGTTCCCATGCAGAGAACCTTGGTGTGGACCCTGGCTCCGCCTCCTGCCATATGCATGGCCTTTGGCAAATCACTTTACCTCTCTCAAACTCAGTTCACTGGTATGGAGGGAGGAGGATGAGCTTCATGGTCGCTGAGGTCCAGTGTAGTTTTATGTGTATGATTTTGGACAATACCCACTGCAGTAGGAGCAAGGTGAGGTGTGTGGTGCCATGGGAGACGTTTGGGGATGGCTTTGGAGCTGCCATCTTCCCTGGTGAATTCCTTGCCCCTGATGATCCTTGGGTTCATTTCTTGCTGTCCAAGCTCCACAGAAGACTTACCCACTGTGGGCTGGAAGCTGCCTCTTTCTGGGTTTGCAAAATAGTCTGTGGGCCCCCAGGGGCCACTGGATCATCTCCTTGTTGCTACTCATGGGTTGCTCTACCACCTCCTTGCGTGTCTGTACTTTGGGTTCTATTCAGCAAGCATCGATGGGGCACCTGCTGTGTGCCAGGCACTGCTTGAGGCCCTAAGAATTCAGACACACAAGGGAACAATATTCCCTGCCTTCCAGTAGGTGCATTCTAATGAGGGGTAGGAGGTACAGATAAGTAACCTCATGATCATGTGAGTGTGAGAAAGCAGTAACAGTTAAGAAGAGCAGGGCAGGCTTCCAGGAGGAGGCGGTATTGGTGCTGAGCCTGGAAGGAAGCTGAGGATGCCAGGAGGTAGAAAGGAGAATATTCAGATGTGGGGTGGGACCCAAGCAAAGGTACCAGAGTGGGAGATGAAAATGATGTTGGGAAATAAAAAACCATCCAGTTTGGTGGGATGTGTGGAATAATGACATGTATGTCTGGAAAATTAGGCCAGAACATACTGAGCACAAGCCTCCTTGGTTACATGCTGAAGCCTATTCATACCCACCTATGTCTTACCATTGCCCTGGGGGTGGGGGGAAAGGCCAGCACTGGAGGGGGGCATCTTCATAGATTGTGGTCTACCATTAGTAACCCAGAGTAGCAGTGGGAGGATTTTGGTGCTAATGAGATGATAGAATTTTGTATCTGGGGGAGATACAAGAAGTGAGACCATCCTTGCCTCCATGACTCTTCCAGTCATAAGCATAAGCAACCTGCACACATAGCTTGCTTTCTCCTTCCTCTCCTGACAGGGGGCCCGTGGAGATGCTGTTATCCTGGGCATGACCAGCCTGGAGCAGCTGCAGCAGAATCTGGCAGCAGCAGAGGAGGGCCCTCTGGAGCCTGGGGTGGTGAAGGCCTTTGACGATGCCTGGAACCTCGTCGCCCACGAATGTCCGAGCTACTTCCGCTAGCTCCAGCCCTGGTGGTGGAGAGAGGCCCCCTCACTGATGCTGGCTGTCCCCATGCTCTCAGCCCCATCAGCCAGCCTTTGCCTTAACCTGCTTCAGCCTGAGCTCTGTCTTTCAAATTGTCCCTGTTCTCTGAATCCATGGTTTTCTAGCCTCCTTCCTGGAGGTGAGATCTCTGGCCCCCTGCCCTGTTGCTCTTTCTGTTGAGAAGGGTGAGGGCCAAGATCATCTCAGTCCTGTCCTGTTGGAATAAGAGCAACTGTTGCACAAGAGAGTGTCCTGGAGTGAATTATGAGCAGGGCTCTTCTGGGGCCTAGGGTTGGTTGGGTCCTTGGTGGGAAGGTGTCTAAGAACTTGGGATGAGGATTTCCCTACCTGGTCAAGGGATTGACCTGATTCAGGGAGCTTCACACCTTATTCAAGGCTCCCCCAGATGCACACCTGGGCACACTATAAAGTACTCATAAATTAGTAATCATTATTCAGCTCCCTGAGTGTCCTCAGCTGTTGAATGGGGATACTCTAGATGAATAAATATAAATTTATATATAACACATAACCCTTAACATGCTGCAGAAAAATGGCCATAATAACAGCTGATGTTCATATAGGGCTTTGCTCAACTTGCATTTCTGGTAGAACATAAGCTCCTTGAGGGCAGGAACTGTCTCACTTTGGGGTTTGACAGGATCATATCTTTACAGCTGGAAGGGACCTCAGAAGCATCCAGTCCAGACTCCTTACTTTTCTAATGAGGAAACCAAGGCCTGGAGATGTAAAGTAATCATTCCAAATAAACAACAGAGGTGAGATATTTAACTCAGATACTCCTACTATTGAGCCAGTGCTTTTCCAACACCTCTCATAAGCCTTGTACATAGTAGGGGCTTAATAAATGCTTGTTGGTGGATCGATAGATCTCGTATCATTTATTGTTGTGGTTGTTTTGTCCAGAACTGGGATTCCACCATTATGAGCAATTCTTAGAGTGCAATATGCATTCCACCAATTCTGGGGACAAAATACTAACTTAAAGGAGGAAAGAATCATACATCTTTAAAAAAAACCCATCAATTCTAAAGACAAAAATAGAAGAAACCATAAACCTAACTCATAACTCTGTAAGTGTGAATGGACTAAATATTCCAATAAAAAGAAAGAGGGTGGCAGACTGGACAATAAAAGAAAACTCTTCCTCCCAAAACCCTGTTATTTACCAGAAACAACTGAAAACGAAAGATATACATATGAGCAAAATGAGAAGATGAAACAAAATAGAGTATGCATCAGGTGAAGCCAAAAAGCAAATGTTGGAATTACAGTATTGGACAAAGCAAAAGTAAATATTCACAATATCATTACAGTCATATAAGGATATTATATTATGTTTAAAGGAACCATAGACATCAAACCACTATTTATGTTAAATTTATGTGCACTAAGTCACATAGCATCTAAATTCATGAAGGAAAAATTCATTGAATTTTTAAAAAGACACCAATAATTACAGTAATAGTAGGAGACTTTCATGTTCCTTTGTCAGAGCTGTGCAAATCTAAGAAATATAAATAAAAGAAAAAATAACGTATAAACTGAATAAATTATGGCTAAAAGATTTATAACATTTCCTAAATGGAACCACAGTTTCTGAGCACTAGATGGCATTTTTTCACAAGAAAGGAAAGAAAGAAATTTCAAATGGATAGAATACTGAAAACATCATTTACAGACCATAATGCAATAAACATAGTAATCAACTCAGGAAACACAACCAAAAAACACTAGGCCAAACTGAGACAACAATGAATCCTAAGTAACAAAAGGCTCAAAGAGCAAGTCATAGAAACAGTAATTATGGAAGACAATAGTAGCGATGAGACAGCACACCAAAATTTCTTAGATGCACTTCTTGGATAATTAACTGCAAAATAGAAAGCAATAGGCATGTTTCTCACCTGTTCACAGCACCTTTAAAAAAGTGGATCATGTTTGCACATGTGTAACCTGTGTCAAATTGCCTGCTGTCTCAGAGCGGGGAGGGAAGGAAGGAAAGGAGACAATTTGGAGCTCCAAAAATTTTTTGGAATACTATTTTGTTTTTTCCAATTACATGTAAAGATAGTTTTCTCCATTCGTGTTTATAAGATTTTTGAGTTCCAAATTTTTTCTCCCTCTCTCCCATTCCCCCTCCCCAAGACAGCAAGCCATCTGATAGGTTATGCATGTATAATCATGTAAGCATATTTCCACATTAGTCATGTTGTGAAAGAAGAAACCGAACAAAAGGGAAGAGACACAAGCCAAAGAAGTGAAAATCATACGCTTTGATCTGCACTCAGCTCCCTAGTTGTTTCTCTCAACGTGGGTCGCATTTTCTGTCATGAGTTTTGTGGACTCATGTTTTGGATCATTTTATTTCTGAGAAGAGCTACGTCTATCACAGTGGATCATTGCACAATGTTGCTGCTGCTGTGGAACTCAAAATTTGAAGAAAAAAAAAGGAATGTTAAAAATTGCTTTCGTGTGTAATTGGGGAAAAAATAAAATGGAAAATGTTGAATATAGCCCTCGCTGACTACAATATAATAAAATGTATAATCAGTCATGGACCTTTGAAGTAAGAAATCAAACTCAAATGGAAACCAAATAATTTAATTCTACAGAACAAAAAAGATAATTTCATAAAACAAAATGTCAATAATGAAAAGGCATAATAAAACTTTGAGTTGCAGCCAAACAAGATATTTGAGGGATCTCTAGAAATACTTCTATCAACAAAAGAAAGAACACATCAGTAAGTTGGCCATGCAACAATAAAAACAAAAACCTAGAAAAGCCCAATTAGATTCTGAAAACTGAAGAGAAGCAAAATTGTTTTTAAAAATCCATTGAATTGTTACATAAAGTGAGGGATTTGTTTAGCAAAACATTAATAAATCTAGATAAGTGATTGCTAAAAAAAAAAGTCAAATTGCTGCTATCAAAAATGAAAAAGGAGAAATAAAAAAAAGCATCAGAACTTCTTTTGCTCAGTCTTATGTCAACAGATAAATGAAATGGATGAATATTTACCAAAAGATCTAGCACCCAAATTAACAGACTAAGAAAGAGAAAATTCAAATAACTCAATCTTAGAAAAAGGAAATCGAATAAATCAAAAAGTAAATTCCAAAGGAAAGATCTCCAGGACTAGATGGTTTTAAAAGTTAATTCAATGAAACATTAAAAGAATAATTAATTCCAACTGATACTGATTCCAAAATATTGAATAAGGTGCTAACAAAGAGTCTACAGCAACATATTTAAAACATTATATAACATGGTCCTATTGGATTTAAAGCATTTATGCAGGTTTGATATTAAGAAAACTAAAAACATGACAGATCATATTAATGAGAAAAAAATTAAAATCACATGATTACCAAGATACAGAAAAGGCTTTGGACAAAATAATAGTATCATTAAAAAGCCTAGGAATAAATGATGTGCACTGTTTCTTATAAGCAGTAACTCTCTAAAACCAAGAGCAAAGATTATCAGTGTTGTGACTGGAATTTAACAAAAGGGCAAACTGAGGCAGGTCTCTGAGCAAGATAGCATTTATTAGCAGGGGCATGCCTCCTGTCACTAAGTGGGTGCAGTGGATTGTCTCCATTAATGACAAAAACCCGAGACAGTTCCCCTTATATAGGTTTTGGGGAGTATAGAACAAAGAACAGAACAGGGGAGATGACATCATGGGATTAAAGGCAACATAACTGGTTTATGAGATGGGGCTCAGGGAACGACGTGATTGGCTGGAAGTTTGGTAATGGGAACTAGTAATAAGTAGCCCCCCTTCTCTCATGAGAGTAAGAAGTGCTCATTGTCTGAGGTCAGGTATGAGATAGTGGCTCAGACTCTTGCACAGCAAACTAGGCATCCTTGAAGGATAGCTGGGTGGAGTAAAAATATCAGGCCCAAAATCCTTTTCTGTTCACACATATCCTCTAAAACCAGTTAAATTCCTTGAGTGGGAGAGCTGGATTTTTTCATCTTAACTTACTGCAGGTCAGTTTAATTCTTAACCAAGTTCAGAGACAAAGAAACATGATTTAAACATTTACAGGACAAAATCAATTACCTGTAAATAAGGTCATTAAATAAATTAGACCAGATCAATTTTAATCTTCTCGTCAGTAATAAATACTAGAATTCTTTCCAGTAAAGTCAGGAATAAAGCAAAAATGTCCATTGTTACCATGATATTTTATATCATTCCAGATATGCTAGTTATAAATTGATATATGAAAATAAATTGAAGGAGCAAGCATAGGCAAAGAGGAACTAAAGTTATTGATTTTTGCAGATGATATGACGTTTCATTTAGAAAATCCTAGAGATTGAAAATTCCTGAAACAATAACTTCAAAAAAGTAGCAGGACCTAAAATAAACCCACATAAATAATCAGATTTTCTCTATGTTATCAACAAAATCCACCAGAAAGAGACAGAGTGATTCCATTCTATTTGGTTACAGAATTTTTAAAATATTTAGAAGTCCACCTACCAAGGAAGAAAGAGAATTATAAAAATGTAGTAACAAACCACTCTTTTCAGAAATACAGTGGATCAGCCTACCAATATAATAAAAAATGACAATATTATCAACTTAATTTAGTTATTCAGTACCATCCTAATTAATGTATTAATTTATAAAATGATAAAAAATAATAGCAACACTCATTTGAAGGAACAAAATCATATTACATTCATATATCTAGGAAGTTAGAAAAAAGCAGGCATGAGGAAGAAATAGCATTTCCAGATGACAAACAGTTTTATAAAGCAATAATCAAAAAAGCAATTGGTACTGGCTAGAAAGAAATAGAAAATTGATCAGTGGAATAGATTACATGAATAAAACTTAGATGAACAGAGTAATGATAAATTGTTAAACCCAAGTATCCAAAGGACTAGAATAAGGACTGGCTATTTGACAAAACTGCAGGGAAAACTGGAAAGCAGGTTGGCAGAAATGCAATTTAGATCAGCATATCACACCATATACTGTAGTTACCTACAAATGGACACAGGACCTATAGTGATATGCAAATCAACTGAGATGAAGAAAAATAATTAAATGTGTTGACATACGATAGACTTCAAGATTTTTTACACCTTTGAAAATTTTCAATATGTATTATGTCCCTCTTTTGCTGCAAACCCTTGTTTTCCATGATTAAGCACAGAGTTTACAAGATTGTTAACACATTCTTTAATTCTTCATCTTGAAACTACACTTTTATCACATTGCGTAGTAAGCATACTTTTGATGGACAGTACATTTTTCTTCCAAGTCTAACTTTATTGATAGATAACCCATAGATTTTCACTGGGGATTTAAATCAGGTGAGTTTCCAGGTCATTGAAGAATGCTTATCTCCATCTCTTGGATAAATGTTTTAACCTTCTATGACGTGTGGCATAGTGTTAGGTATTTTGCAGCATTTCTGCCTCAGACACTTAGGAGCTGTGTGATCCTAAGACTGTCACCTAAATTCTCTGAATATCAGTTTCCTCATCTGTAATTATATTATATTAATAATATTATATACCTCACAGAGTTGCTGAAAGGACCAAAGGAGATAACATATAGATAAAGTACTTGGCCAATTTTAAAGCGCTATCAAAATGTTCTTCAAAAGGCCTGAAGTGGCTTCAGCCATTTCTTTCTCGTGGTTCTCCATTCTTAGTGTGACTCCTTCACAGACAGTGACTGGTGAGAGACAAAAGTGTAAGAGGAAACGCTTTGGGCTCTTTCCCTCTGAGGCCAACATCTGTCCCCATGAAAATGGACCTCAGTGCTTTGCTTCAGTATTTATTCTATTTTAGGTAAAGGAGATGAATGTAGAGGCTCTGACCTTGTGGGTATGG